CCTATCAGTAATCTGAAACAACTACTTGTTAAATGCACAACGAATGTTCAGTTCCTATTTAATAATGAAATATACAGACAGGTTGATGGAGTAGCCATGGGATCCCCACTGGGACCTATTTTCGCGAATATATTTCTAGCAAAACTAGAAAATAGTCCGTTGAAAGAGGAAATAGCGAAAATGGAAATGTATTGTCGTTACATGGATGACACTTTTGTAGTGTACGATGAAGGGTTAAATAGTGATTTGATTTTGAACAACTTCAATAGTGCTCACCCAGCGGTCCATTTCACCTACGAAGGAGAATACAACGAATCCTTACACTTCCTCGACGTCCTACTAACAAGAAGAGAGGATGGTTCCATCAAAAGAACCATATTTAGAAAGCTAGAGACCAAAGCCCAGTATACACATTTCCTTAGCTTCGTACCGATGAAATACAAACGTAATCTAATCAGGTGCTTAGCATTTAGAGCGAGGTCGATTTGTTCTGAAGAATGCGTAGAGAATGAACTCCAGATCATCCGAGACATTCTAAGCGAGAACGGATATCCAGAGAAGTTCATTAAAGCCAACATAGGTTATAATAGCCGTAAACATGAACTAACAACTGTGGAGAAAAAGCCTCTGTTTTTACGTCTCCAATTCAAGGGAGATACTCCTGCGGAGATTCTATCCCAACGTTTAACCAGGGCGATCAAGAAAACTTTCTATTCTGCACGTCTGTGTCTATCCTTCACTAGCCGTCCAATGTTCACCCAGCAACTCAAAGATGCCTTACCTAACCTTAGCTCTTCTTCATGCATATACCATTTCAACTGTTCCTGTGGTTCAAGTTATATAGGGCGCACGATTAGGCAGGTTCGTCTACGGGTTCGAGAACACTTACCAGCTTGGTTCAGCAGGGGGAAAATTAAGTGCATAAAAAGCTCGATCCTGTCACACCTGGTCGACACTGGACATCGCATCGATGTCAACACAGCTTTCAGAGTTATATACCGAATTCCGAAGTCGTTATCACGTACAGTTCGCTTACGTCTCCTACACATAGCTGAAGCTGTTGCAATAAGATCGACTAAACCGGAACTGTGTATCCAAAAGGAACACGTCCAGACGCTGTTCCTACCGTGGCCAACCTTGGACTGAAGATTTTTCTTCTCACCAAGAGTGCTCTTTCCCCTTAAGCCCCTTGGTTTTTTTTTTTCTTTTCTTTTAATTTGCTTATTATTATAAATATTATTATTACAGTTATTATTATTCGTCATAATTTATGCCCTTTATGCAAACATTCCCCCAATACTATCGAATTTTCATTTGTACGGACTGATTATTAGTGATACTATCTGTTTTCTCAATATATGCCTCCACCTGCTTCATTTAATATATTCGTTATCTCACTATGAACCTCTCATTCCAGTCTTACTATATCCTGCTTAACTCAGACCACTTTGTACTAGCCACTCACCTGACACCTTTTATAACCTTGAACTGATTTGTCAATTTTCCTACCCCACACTCTACAATTCCATTATGATTAACCACCACTATTGTCTCCCGTTTTACAATATTTCTAATCGATTTCAGCCTAGCACGTTTGTCACACAAATATGACTATTTATTTTGACACCCCATAACTAATCTGTTATTCTACGTTAAAAAATGTATCCGCCGCATACCTGGCTATCTTTATTGTAACGACCACAAATATTATATTTTATAATTGTAAGAACCTGATGAGAAATTATTGAAAAGAATATTCTTCGTTCAGATTGACTTTTAATTCATAATATGGGAATATTTCACACTATCAATATAACACCGGTAATATCACGAATAATGGAGAAAGTGGTTAAAGACCAAGTGTCAGGCAACTTACTAGAACATGAACTTACCAATCCATCACAACACGGATTCCTCAAAAAGAGATCATGTGTGACCTGTCACATAGACTTTTTCAACGAAATTACACGAAGTAGGGACAACAGAGAACTAGTAATTGTGCTATATTTCGATATAACAAAAGCCTTCGATAGAGTCCCCCATAATCTGCTAGTTAGCAGGTTATCCTCACTGGGGATATGTGACCCTCTCCTGAGCTGGATAAAATCATTTCTCTGTGACCGAAGTCAGATAACGAAAGTTGGCTCGATAATCTCAAGGCCTAAACCAGTAAGTAGTGGTGTAATCCAGGGAAGTGTATTAGGCCCACTGCTATTCATACATATATATAAACAGTATCTGTGAATGCTTTAGTGTTGGTAAATCAATACTATATGCAGATGACTTAAAAGTGACCTATAAATGCAAGAACACAGATCTTGGAATAACAGTAAACGTCATACAGCAAGAATTAGAAAAAATGGATAGATGATGTGACACCTGGCAACTCCAGTTTAATGTCGACAAATGTGGCTGGCTCTGGAATCTGGATTGGTCTGCTGTATTGGACCTATGGCTGAAATACTCACATGACTTATCATTTTCTGAACATATCTCCAAACAAGTGTCAAAGTCACGCAGACTTATCGGCTTTCTACTCACGAACTTCTACAGAAATGAGTCTAGAATTCTGTTGTACATGGTTTGTGTGCGTCCTTTATTTGATTACTATTCATTCATGCATAGTGATATACGCATGGAGGACAAATTGAAAGTCGAGGGAGTGCAGAGGTACTTCACGTCAAAATTACTCGGAACCGAAAATGGTGCGAACTACTCCACTAGATGTGACACCCTAGGACTAGAAACATTATGGCTAAGACGCCTGAGACTAAACTTGACACTTTACTATGAGCTTCTAAACCACTTAGTTTTTACCTCTACTAATGGAACTCGACTTTCAGATGACAATGGGTACAGTTGCTATCGAACAATGTAAAACAGCCACCAGGCAAAAGTTTTACTTGATTAGGTATGCACGCATATGGAATAAACTACCAATGGAAATGCGTCAAGCAAGTACATTGGCCTCCTTCGAAAAGGTGCCTAATGACAAACTACAAGAGTTTGCAAACGATAGTAGTTCTAGTTCCTATCTGAGAGCCCCCGAAATTATAGGTCCATTTAATGTATAAGCTTAAATACTACACCTGTTTTTGCCTATACATATATATATATAATTTTAGATAAAACATTAACGATTAAGATACTTACCCTCAAACGGACAAGAAATTTCGTTTGTAAAACTTCTACCCAACACAATAAGTGGAATAAAATGGACATAAACCGACAACATGAAAAAGGTATAACTCACCACAACATCACATGGACAGATGTACGCTCGTTGGCACCATATATACCTCACCAACTACAACCCACCTTTCCTAAGATAATGTGATGAACTTACATCAATAACGTTGCGGAGCAGTTAATATTCACAACTCCTGTCGGAACAGCTGAAATTCATAAATATTCCTCACGCGAAGAAAATACCCACAAGCAGTAGAAATCCATTAACTAATGCGTCTAAAGCTTATGTATTTACTCCCAACAATAACATTGCAGATCAAATGAGATAAACATATCACTGATTTCAAAATAATACATCAATGAACTATAATTCAAGTATTCTACACACAACAAAGTTATGTATGTAAATTGGCTTCAAGCTTTATTTTATTTTCCCAGGCACTTATAACTCATCCACCAAAGACCTGCTTTTTTTGTTAATGCGAAGACAATACTTCTGTATTTCCTGATGTGTAGCACTCACTGACAATCTAGCAGATCTTTCCAACTGTGCATAGAAATGATTGCATATTAGTGAAAAGGCTGTTTTATACTACTGGGATTAACATTTATCAAGTGTATGTATAATCTCCAGCGTACATGTACAGCATATCTTGCTACCGCCTGTAAATTGTGACTGAATTATATGGTTCTATTTCTGTAACAATTCGATGATGCCTGTAAACTGGCGTCACTCATGTACTGTATTATGAGAATAAATTTAATTATTTATTAGCACGCCTAACATGCTGGTGGCCGGAAATTGATGCTGACACTAACAAAAGATTAAAGAGCTGATCTAGTAACCGTAAATAACGCAATTTAAATATGTTTTTTAAACAATACTTATGCATACCTATACAACTGCTGTATCCTACACAGCTAGGAAAAAATATGTACCTTATTATATTACCTTTACTAAATATGCTTACTAATCGAATGTGTAATTTATCGAATTGATGATGGCTGCAAACTGGCGTCCCTCATGTACAAAAATGAGAATATATTATCATTATTTAAGCTAGTACAATTGGTTGGATGGTTTCCTTCTGTCTACATAACTCTAAATTCTTTAACTGAATGTCTAAGGCTTCCGCAATACAAAAGAGAGTAAAGCGAATGGCCTCTGGTAGGTTGTTCTTCACTTTATTGATCACTTGGAGGGTGGCGTTTATTGGGGTGGAATGACCAGTGTTGACGGGATGTTCGATTAGTGCACTCCCTGTAGAGCCAAAAAGGAGGGAGGGTGGCGCATGCTAACCACCAGATATGGTAGTGGTCACAAATGCCAATCGCTCCGATTTGTAGGACAGCAAGATGCATTTTTGACAGCTCAAGAATTAAACATGAGACTGGGTCCTTAGCAGAAAAAGCAATGAGCGATTTACAGATGTGAATTATAAAGAAATGCTTCTGCTCCTATCATCTACAGCTTAGTGTCAAGATGCTACCTGAGGGGCCCTACAGAAATTCGTGAGACACCTTACAGAATTCTAATCTTCCAGATCTTCGAATTCAATTCTCAATGAAATATTGCTTATCTAGCTCACGATGATCCTTTTATTTACGCACCATTGTACTCTTTTTTATCTTGACTACCTAAGCCTTTATTGAAGCTAAAACTTACTCTTTGTCCATACTCGTTGCTTGCCTAAAGTCTAGTTGATTTGATGAAAAACAAAACAACACTGATGTTTGAACAAAGCTATATTTTCATCGAAAAAGTGATGGATTCCATTCTGAGGCCAACATGGCTACCATAAAACACTACAAATGTATGCTACCATTCATTCCAAGGAGTCTCCAGGCCTTATCGGTGTCAAATGGAAGACCGCATATTTCCAACCACTAATTCTATACAAACGGCGCAGCCAGGTAGTACGTATTATTCTGCTCATCTACTACGTAAACGTCTTATTAGCCAGCCCACTTCTAATATTCTATCAACTGAAGATTATAGGATATCCCCCAAACATCGGCCACAAACCACATTTAGCAAGCCAAATAAGCCAACATAGCCCATTAATACGTCTTATGTGTCTAGTGGGGAGCGTGCGCCGATTTCTGCACAAAACTCGTTATGGTCTGATGAATACCCGAAACAGATACAAACACTTAATTCTTATACTGGCAACAAATCACCGAACACCCATATCGGTTATATATTCGGGCAGGATTTTCACCAGCGTCAGTTGACAGAAACACCTGGAATCATGCATATAGCACGCATGATAGCGGATCAATTCCTCACTGGTATAGAGAACAACCTACAGATAGGGCAAGGCATATTTCCCGGAAGATAGCTGACACAGTGTCGACACAAAAAGTGGATACTAATATCTCTAAAATATTAATATCTGATTATCACACAGGTATCTTTCACTGCATACCATATCCAAACGAAAGACCATCCCTGACTACCACCACCTCAAAAATCTACCTGAAGTCTTCCTACGATCCAAAGATATTGGTGAGTCTGATAACATGTATATAGAGGATAGTCACGGATTATTTTACCAAGATGCTGTCCGCTCACTGAAACTACATAGCCAGTGTTTATCTATTATCCTAGTAAATACAAGATTAGTTCTAAACAAACACTTAACACTAAGTACATTAGCTTCTACATGCAGACCACCATTGATTAGGATCACTGAAGCCTGGTGCACAAGTGAAATCTCAGATGACAGTCTAAGGATTGAGAAATACAACCTTTTCCGAGGGGACAGACGGACAGGTCGTGGGGGTGGAACACTAATTTACTGTGAACAATCCATCCATGCAACCCAGTTCAGTAACCCGATTCTGTCACAACTCAATGACTCGATCTGGGTCAAAATAAAAGTTGTCAGAAGTAAGCCTATACTTGTAGGTTGTGTGTACCAACCCTGGGACTTTTATCAGCACCTAATTAGATGTTCTAATTGGGACTTGTACCTTCCGAACGAGTCCTTAGAGGCAATTCTTAACAACTTTTATCAGAATATTAACTCAGTTCATGACGTCATTGCACCTAGGAGGATTCTTAGCTTCAGATTCCCCCCAAAGCGATTATATTCCGACATCGTTGAAGAGGAGTCTACCAAAGCACTCAATAAAATACTACAGATATCATGTTTTATCGTCATTAATTGCCATTACGTCCCTTCTCAATAGAATTGAAGAGTTGAGAAATATAGGCCTCAGAGACAAAGAAATGCAGGCCATTCATGCACCGCATAAATCAGGAGAAATAGCCAAACTTTTCAAAAGTAGGTTGGCGAACTCCAAAACACCCTATCCGAAAATAATATACTTAGACGGCATTGCTTACGAAAATAATGAGGCGATATGTGAACTGTTTAGCAAGCACTTCGCCAGATTACACACTTTAGAGAACGATGAGGTCGTGGATTTCCCACGTAAAACAGACGAATGTTTAAGTGACATAATTTTCACCACACATGAGATCGATAAAGCTGTCGCAAATCTTAAGCTTAGTAACACTACTGGTCCAGACGGTATATCTTCCGTTCTGCTGAAAAAAGGTGGTAATGACATGAGTTTACTCTTACTCAAGTTATACTCAATTTCATTAAGCGATGGGACATACCCTACCTACTGGAAGAAAATCTTATATTGTATCTATCCATAAATACGGGCCTAAGCTTATATCAACAACTACCGCCCCATCAACATCACTTATGTGGTTTCATGTGTAATGGAAAGGATAGTTAAGACTCAAATCATTCAGTACTTGCCGTCAAACGACCTACTATCCCCATCCCAATACGGTTTCTTAAGTAGAAGGTCGTGGATTACTTGCCACTTGGATTATTTTGACTAAATTACGCAATGCATTGATAACGGGCGCCATAAGCAAGGCATTCCATTTAGTCTCACATATCAGACTCCTAAAAAACTCGAATCCAACAAAACAACAGGAAAACCTCTCAAATGGATAAATAATTAACTCAGACGAAGACAGCAATTAGTCAATATAAACGACCAGTTAACTTCATCAAAACTACACGCTGATCATTTACACGGACAGTCTCACGAGTATCCATACCTTTTACCACCGCATCTGCCCTTAATTATAATTCACGTTCAAGTTGTACAGAAACTTTGTTTGACTCAGTAGAAGTAGGCATCCCGTTCATCTCATCATGATCAGCCAAAGACAAATGTGCACCATCATGATCATTGCCACAAAAATCCACTTTACCGCCGTTTATATGGTCGACTTCATCATTTTCAATCTCTTTAATAACAGCAGTAGATGACTTGGATTCATCCTCATGAATCCTTAAAGGTTTTATACATTCACTCTGACTAGTTATACCTTGTAAACTTGTGGAGTCACAACTGGACTCTGAAACTGTAACTCTCTTCTTCTGCACAAACTCCGGTGCCGTCTGTGACACTGTATTCAATAATGGCTCACCAGTTGCAACTACAGGCTTCTTCACCGCACCGTTATCGTCACACGATTCGGAGTCAGACCTTGATGACGCTGATTTCACATAAGCATACCACTAAACTTACTCACTGCTTCACAGTTCGCCTTTGCATGCACTTCTTGCAAACGGACGAAACACGACCGTGTTTGTCTTGTCTGTTGGGGACGTCCCACGGTAGCTGTCACAACCATTAGGTTTGTATAGATTACTATACACCTGTCAGCCACGTCTCGTAAACCGTCAATGCCCAGCTCTTGCTACGCTGAGACTCACGCTATTCCTTGAAGTTTCCCAGAAACGCCTAGTAATAACGGACGCAAAACCAAAACACCAATTGGCTACTCGAGAATTCTTTATTGTAACACAAACATATCAGCAACTTTAAAATTAAGTTTTAACTAAGGTGTCTGACAGTTTTGGCGTGACTTTTTTTTGAACAGTGACCGATGAAACGATGACTGGTATATCGATGTCTCCGCGAAAATATAGGGAAGTTGGGTTTGAGCAAACAACCATGAATTGATCGTTCAATCGTCAAATACATTGACACTACCCGTCAAAAGAGGGATCCATTCCTGTTTTCCATCACGACCAATACACTTTGACTTGGATGCCATTGCGGGAGCCTGGGTCACACGGACAGAGCTGAAATGGAAAACAAACAGAAAAGCCAACACAACACAAGCATACCCACAGCACAATCTCACACATCCAGATAAAGGTTTCTTCTTGACATCTTGCATTACAATCTCCCCGTGCTAGAATGACTCTTACAGAATGCAACGTGACCATAGCACCACCTCATGATACTCCACGCACGTCCTAGTATCTACTCATTACCAATTACCGCTGAAATCGCTTGTCACTCATTCTGCCTCAATTCTAGTAACGGTGACGTATGCAAGCCTCAGTCGTTTACAATCTTGCTCCCTGACGTGTGGGACCGCAGCTAATCATTATCTCCGTATGCATGTCATTCTCAGCAATAGCCTAGCCTCCCCGGCCTATACGACCCATCTGCAAAAAATAACATCAATCAATTCATTCACGGATGTAGAAGACAAGAAACAACTTCAGAAGCAGTCACGACGAAAATTTTGACAAAATTATGCAATACAACAAGATACGAAAACGAGTTAACACAGTGAATCCAAAAAACACCAATTGATATGACACACCACACATATATACAAACAGTACACACAAACTCGTGGATCACATCTTGATGGAATTCCTTTGAAGCATCGCAGGACTTACACCAGTACGCCTACAACCCTTCTCACGTTGACGATTGTAAGTTGTGGAATGTCCGGACAAAAACAAGATTAACCAACAATTACGATAATCGGAACTCACACAATTATTTAACACAAACATATGTACAATCAACACATCAAATGTTGTGGATTCTGCCTTGACGAACTACCCTTGAAGAACTGTAGGACTTACAGCAGTACGCCTACATTCCTTCTCAGGTTGATGATCCAAGTGGAAGTCGTCCGGACACAAACAGAATTACCAACAGCTAGATGACAGATGATATCAATTCAGTATATACAATATGAACATATGTACAAAATCACACACCAAGCACATTGGACTGTTCGTTGATGCGCTACCCTTTGAAGAATTGTTGGACTTACAGCAGTACGCCTACAGCCCTTCTCAGGTTGACACCCTAGGTTGGAAAATCGTCGCAGAGTTCATTTGCTGACTTCCTCTTATCAGCTATATCCTCAAATCTGAACGGTAACACGCTCATGTCATTGTATCGTAGAATATAGATGACTAACAAACACACGAAGTATCTGGCCAACCAAGCGTAGGCACAGAGTAATTTACACCAAAGATAATAGCATTCAAATAGTAACTTGAAACTAGAAATGCCTTTATTCGTGCAAGTCAATTTAACAATTACTCTCTCGTTTACACTTGGCTTATCCTCTCTAAACTGAGCAATATCTTTCGTCTTTTCAAGTGCACCAATACTATCATAGTCATTGCACAAGATACTTGAGTTGATGGGCGTCCTTCTAATTGTGGATGACAACACCAACGACTTTACTTTACTTTACTTCGGTTATCTCCTACGGGAGGATGAGCCGGCTTCATGAACGTCTCGAATCATCGCTGCCCAGGCGCGGCAATTTGTAAGAGAGTTCATGTGGTTTCATGGGAATTTGGTACGAGTGATGTCCCCAGCGTCGCTCGGCCTTTTGTTTGAGAGTGCAGCTCTAGCCTTTACACAGCCAAGTGTGACCTACAAGGCAGTAGGAGTGGAGTAAGGAGTCCACTATGCATTGGCAGCCGGTGACCGGAGTTCGGTTCATACGCCTTTTTGAATGGGGCCAGACATCCAGGACATCCAACAAGCCCTTTGTCCATACGTCTGCCGGTGAGCTCCAGTAAGCTTCATACGCCAGTCGTTGGAGGTTTGGAATCAGGGTTTAGCCATCTCCCCTAGACAGTCATCCAATGGACAGTCAACCCGGTGAGGAGCGCCAGGCATCCGCTTTTGCCCTCTCACTTTGGTGAGAAACACCTCCGCCACGTGAAGGCAGTGAGTAGGACTTCCTCAGGAGAGGCTATGTAAGACGCCCGGTCATATGGGGGCATTTCCAGAGGTGTGCGGAGGGGTGGCCAACCCGCAGCGCAAGGCACCCACCCCCGACCATCCTGAGGCTTTGGAGGCAACACCAACGACGACTGATTGATACCAGTTGATGAAGTTAGCGGTGGATCAAAAGCTGTTGTTGTTCGGCTTTCAGAAGGTTGTCTAACTGCAAGAATACCATCACTGCTGTCTTTTACTATTAGCTCCGGTTTAGCACTAGCATTTGATGATAGGTGGGCTTCACTCTAACCAATTACACTGACGGTTTGACAAGTATGCATGCCTTCTGCAACTGCATTTATTTCTACTTCACGTTCAAGTTGTACAGAACCTTTGTTCAACTTAGCAGTAATAGGCATACCCCTCATCTCATCATGATCAACCAAAGACAAATGTGAAGTATCATGATCATTATCACGAACATTCACTTTACCGTCAATTTCATCATTTTCAAACTATTTAATAACAGAAGTAGACAATTTTGGTTCCTCCTCACAAATCCTAAAAGGTTTTATAACTTCACTCTGACTAGTTATACCTAGTAAACTTGTGGAGTCAGAACTGCACTCTGAAGCAGCAACTCTATTCTGTGACACTATTCAACAATGGCTTACCAGTTGCAACTACAGACTTCTTCACCGCACCGTTATCGTCACACAATTCGGAGTCAGGCCTGGAGTTTACATTTAGCTTATCACTGAACTTGCTTACTGGTTCACAGTTCACCTTTGTATGCACCTCTTGCAAACGTGTAAAACACAACCGTGTTTGTCTTTCATCTTGTAACTTATCTGTTGAGGATGTACTACGAAACCTGTTACACTCACTAGATCTATATGCATTACTAGACATCATGGAGCCTTCTCGATATCCACCTCTCTGAGGCCTATTCGTCATCAATGATTGCGTTTTTCCCTCAGACTGCTCTATTCTAGGGGTGAAATTCAATATACTGGCAAACTTGCTCATAGATTGATTGACACTATCTTTTACTAGTTTCAGGATATCATAAAATTTTGGCTCGATACCCTCATCCTCCATACGGGAGCTTATCTTCACCCACTTCCTTTGCAGTCGAGTAGGTAGGCAGTATAGCAGAAAACTTGCTCAAAGCTTGGTTGACACTGTCTATCACCAGCCTCACAATATCATCCAACTTGGGCTCTAAACCCTCCGCCTCTAGATGTGAACAGACCTTTAAGAACTTTCCTTGTAGACAAACCGATAATCTCTTGGCAACTGTCCCAAGCACAGAACTTGAGTTCAACTCATCCATATTGTTACGATAAACGAGAGTATTTCCGTTTACCATTAAACTGTCCAAGAACTCTGCGAGTTCCTCTGAATTATCGTTTAACTCTGATCTATTACCTTTCACTGCCTCAAAAATACTGCGAGATATCATAAGTGGTTTTCAAACTTTTGACGTATTATCTTCACAGCCCCTGTATTTCCTTCGCTTCGGGAAAAAACTTGCAGCACTATATGGCTCTTGAAGCAACACCAGTGTAATACCTCAACAAATACATTAGCTTTATTTATTTATTTTTTTATTTTTGATTACAGCTTGATTCCACACCGTATTTTTGGAACGAGTGTGGAATTTTCAGCGTGGATATCGGTAGCCCAAAATTCGCAGGCCGATCATAGATACCAGGTGTGCGTCGGCGTGTGATCGAACCTCGGACCATGCACATGGTCGGCGAGAGTCCTAACCACTGTGCCACCGACGTCATTTAATAGAAAGCCACTCAACATGACCTCAAACTCCTTGATAAACTGCGGGTAGTCGGCTGGGTTACCATCAAGTACCGAGGTTCAAATTGCGGAGCCTTAAAGCACCACTATCCCAAAACGGCGAAGCGTGAACATCCGACTCATCATGCATATCATTACAATCAACAGGAAACTCATCCTTTTTTGACTGCTTTCACGGTGCCAAGTCCCTTCTTTCGCCCATGCATTATCCAACGTCACCATAGGATCCAAATTGCGTTGATAATCCTTGTCCAAAGATGCTGGCTGCAGTCCGAGTAAGTACTCTCAGAAGAGTTCCAGAAAACGAACAGAGGAATAAAAACTGTCAAGGAACTTAACCCTAAGTTCCTGTTGTTACGAAGACGCTCCGAACAGATAAATACTACGACCGATTCTCGACTTTAACTCTAAAACACCAGTGGTTGTAAGAAGGAAGTTGTATTATTTGGTACAGCGCCGCATATTTGGCGCCGTTTTCGAAGTTTGTCGTTTTTTCCGCGTAATTTTCGTTTTTATTATTCCTTTTTGTATTCCCATTTTTCAGGATATATCCTCAGTGTCACTGACTACTAACACAAATAGCAATATTTTTTTCATATCTAAACCTACCTTTGTAGTCACTGGATATTATCCTTACTGGTTTTCTTCTTTCAGGCTATTGATTAAGGTATTACCATTTCGAGCACCTGACTTTTGGTACCCATATTACGCTTGTTTTTTTGTTTTGTCATAACGTCAAACAGCCTAAGACTCGTCTACCTGCAGTTCTGTATTAACTATACACAAAATGCCAGTTAAGCTATCAAAGCGTCGTGCTTCATCATCGGCTGAAAACTTCAGCAAAAGACAAATCTAGCAAGCCTAAACAGCATGGTAACTTTCCCTTCATCTGACAAAGATGCTAAATAAGACAAGATCAGAAATCATTACTTCTTCACCTTCTTGTGTAATAAGTGATTTTATCAGGGGTATTTACAGTAGTACAGGTTGTGAGACAAGTGTAGGGGACTGTTACGAGAGTTTACTAACATTACAAATATGAGAATAATAATCCAAGTCAATGAAACGTTAAATAACAATATATTACCAAAAATGCAGTAACGAGTTATATCAATAAAAAGGATTACTTGGATATGAAGTTTAAGTCCGCTGCTACAAATTATTTATATAATCCACGGGAACGTTAACTGTTTGGGTTGCGTCTGCTGTGTTCCGGTTGTAGAATTGTCTTCGGTTGAGGATAGTAGACTCCTGCAATAAATCTGAAGTATACAACACGGTATGAGTGGAGCAAGTAAGCAGAAATGGCCAGAAAGAAGGAAGTTTTCAACAGTAAAGTGTATTTCCAATTGTACACGGAAGTTATATGTATTTTAACAAGAATAGTTTAAACAAAAATCATGTACAATATCTCTAATTTCTACAAATAACCAAAAAGTGTACAATCATATAGTTACGTACTACACACGGCTCCCCCCCCCTAGAGGTCCGGAGAGACTACCGGAAAATGTTAAGTAAAACTCTGAAGTAAATAATAATAGTAGTAATAATTTTAAGATAAAAATAAGGATACAAAATAACATGCATGTACGCGAGAAGGTATTTGAATCATGTAAAGTCTGAAAGCATATACAATTAGTTCAACAATAAAAATTGAAATAGAAGGTCATGTCAATTGAATGAGGTTGGTTTCTCATTTGCGCAAACCATGAACGAAGATTTTTAATGTATAAAGAAAAGTATGTTTATACACAGTAATTAAAGAGGGGAAAGAAAACAGAAAAAATATGAATTGAGAAACGATAGTTTCTGAAAAACACAATACCTGTTTGTAGGTGAGGTACATATAAATAAATAATAGTGACAGTAACATCAAAGTGTACGAAGAAATACTAACAGTCATGATAATACCCATCATCTCACGAACTTCGTCTTAAATTATCAGACTTGGTGCGTGTGTTGGTAGAGGAGCTTGTGGCATAGTTCGTGTAGTGCGTGAAGTATCACCGCCTCATTCTGTGCGTCGGTGGCACTGGTTAGGACTTTCGCCGACTATGCACATGGTCTGAGATTCTATCCCCTGCTGACGCACACCTCATAGCTATGGTCGGCCTGCAAATTTTGGGCTACCGGTATCCATGCTGAAAATTCCATACCTGTACTAAAAATACATTGTGGAATCAAGCTGTAATCAAAAAAATATATGCAATGAAATCACAATTTAAAGGAGCCTGGTTACATCACGATCCGGAGGGATCTCAAATACTACTTGAAAGAACTGTATTAGCTCAAGCAACTGCCATTGGAAATCCATGGCTTCCACATCTACATTATGCATTTCGAGATGGAAAGTATTTACATCTTGTCATGGATTATGAACCTGGTGGTGACTTATATATATTTTTAAGCAAAGTTGGCCATTTATTGGATTCAAAGATGGTGCAGTTTTATGCTGCTGAAGCCGTAGAAGCTATTCATTCTCTACATCAAATGGGTTACATTCACTGTGATTTAAAACCTGAAAATTTTGCAATTGAAAGAAGTGGACACTTGAAATTAATTGACTTCGGTTCAGCTATCAGACTTCATGCAGATGGGAAATGTATCTGTCCTTCAATGGTTGGAACAAAAGAACACTTAAATATTGAATTATTAAGACAACGTGGACGACATAATCAAGAACCATTACTTGTCGGTCCAGAATTTGATTATTGGTGTATTGTTATATGAATTATTCTATGGTCAAACACCATTCTATGATGAAGATGACAAAATGATGCAAAAGATTATGGATTATCGGAAAACACTGAAATTCCCACCATCCTCTGAGATAACAGACTCAGCAATTGATTTGATTGAATCATTGATTGTTACCCCATCGAAACGGTTAACTTATGCAGATGTTGTTATGCATCCATTTTTCAAAGATGTTGACTTCGCAGCATTAAGAGAAGTTACGCCTCCATACTTACCCCCTGTTGGTGAACTTGATGATTTTTCAAATTTCTCTAGTGGTGGTTGACGTTGGTTTATCACGGGTACGTGAACCACCACTAGAGAAATTCGAAAAATCATCAAGTTCACCAACAGGGGGTAAGTATGGAGGCGTAACTTCTCTTAATGCTGCGAAGTCAACATCTTTGAAAAATGGATGCATAACAACATCTGCATAAGTTAACCGTTTCGATGGGGTAACAATCAATGATTCAATCAAATCAATTGCTGAGTCTGTTATCTCAGAGGATGGTGGGAATTCCAGTGTTTTCCGATAATCCATAATCTTTTGCATCATTTTGTCATCTTCATCATAGAATGGTGTTTGACCATAGAATAATTCATATAACAATACACCAATAATCAAATTCTGGACCGACAAGTAATGGTTCTTGATTATGTCGTCCACGTTGTCTTAATAATTCAATATTTAAGTGTTCTTTTGTTCCAACCATTGAAGGACAGATACATTTCCCATCTGCATGAAGTCTGATAGCTGAACCGAAGTCAATTAATTTCAAGTGTCCACTTCTTTCAATTGCAAAATTTTCAGGTTTTAAATCACAGTGAATGTAACCCATTTGATGTAGAGAATGAATAGCTTCTACGGCTTCAGCAGCATAAAACTGCACCATCTTTGAATCCAATAAATGGCCAACTTTGCTTAAAAATATATATAAGTCACCACCAGGTTCATAATCCATGACAAGATGTAAATACTTTCCATCTCGAAATGCATAATGTAGATGTGGAAGCCATGGATTTCCAATGGCAGTTGCTTGAGCTAATACAGTTCTTCCAAGTAGTATTTGAGATCCCTCCGGATCGTGATGTAACCAGGCTCCTTTAAATTGTGATTTCATTGCATATTTTTTTTGATTACAGCTTGATTCCACAATGTATTTTTAGTACAGGTATGGAATTTTCAGCATGGATACCGGTAGCCCAAAATTTGCAGGCCGACCATAGCTATGAGGTGTGCGTCAGCAGGGGATAGAATCTCAGACCATGTGCATAGTCGGCGAAAGTCCTAACCAGTGCCACCGACGCACAGAATGAGGCGGTGATACTTCACGCACTACACGAACTATGCCACAAGCTCCTCTCCCAACACACGCACCAAGTTTTAAGTCTGATAATTTAAGACGAAGTTCGTGAGATGATGGGTATTATCATGACTGTTAGTATTTCTTCGTACACTTTGATGTTACTGTCACTATTATTTATTTATATGTACCTCACCTACAAACAGGTATTGTGTTTTTCAGAAACTATCGTTTCTCAATTCATATTTTTTCTGTTTTCTTTCCCCTCTTTAATTACTGTGTATAAACATACTTTTCTTTATACATTAAAAATCTTCGTTCATGGTTTGCGCAAATGAGAAACCAACCTCATTCAATTGACATGACCTTCTATTTCAATTTTTATTGTTGAACTAATTGTATATGCTTTCAGACTTTACATGATTCAAATACCTTCTCGCGTACATGCATGTTATTTTGTATCCTTATTTTTATCTTAAAATTATTACTACTATTATTATTTACTTCAGAGTTTTACTTAACATTTTCCGGTAGTCTCTCCGGACCTCTAGGGGGGGGAGCCGTGTGTAGTACGTAACTATATGATTGTACACTTTTTGGTTATTTGTAGAAATTAGAGATATTGTACATGATTTTTGTTTAAAACTATTCTTGTTAAAATACATATAACTTCCGTGTACAATTGGAAATACACTTTACTGTTGAAAACTTCCTTCTTTCTGGCCATTTCTGCTTACTTGCTCCACTCATACCGTGTTGTATACTTCAGATTTATTGCAGGAGTCTACTATCCTCAACCGAAGACAATTCTACAACCGGAACACAGCAGACGCAACCCAAACAGTTAACGTTCCCGTGGATTATATAAATAATTTGTAGCAGCGGACTTAAACTTCATATCCAAGTAATCCTTTTTATTGATATAACTCGTTACTGCATTTTTGGTAATATATTGTTATTTAACGTTTCATTGACTTGGATTATTATTCTCATATTTGTAATGTTAGTAAACTCTCGTAACAGTCCCCTACACTTGTCTCACAACCTGTACTACTGTAAATACCCCTGATAAAATCACTTATTACACAAGAAGGTGAAGAAGTAATGATTTCTGATCTTGTCTTATTTAGCATCTTTGTCAGATGAAGGGAAAGTTACCATGCTGTTTAGGCTTGCTAGATTTGTCTTTTGCTGAAGTTTTCAGCCGATGATGAAGCACGACGCTTTGATAGCTTAACTGGCATTTTGTGTATAGTTAATACAGAACTGCAGGTAGACGAGTCTTAGGCTGTTTGACGTTATGACAAAACAAAAAAACAAGCGTAATATGGGTACCAAAAGTCAGGTGCTCGAAATGGTAATACCTTAATCAATAGCCTGAAAGAAGAAAACCAGTAAGGATAATATCCAGTGACTACAAAGGTAGGTTTAGATATGAAAAAATATTGCTATTTGTGTTAGTAGTCAGTGACACTGAGGATATATCCTGAAAAATGGGAATACAAAAAGGAATAATAAAAACGAAAATTACGCGGAAAAAACGACAAACTTCGAAAACGGCGCCAAATATGCGGCGCTGTACCAAATAATACAACTTCCTTCTTACAACCACTGGTGTTTTAGAGTTAAAGTCGAGAATCGGTCGTAGTATTTATCTGTTCGGAGCGTCTTCGTAACAACAGGAACTTAGGGTTAAGTTCCTTGACAGTTCGCTGTGCCTTCCTTGATTACACATGTGCATTTGACTCTGTTCCCAGGTCTCTCTTGCTAAGTAAGCTTGCTGCAACACAGGCTGAAAGCTGGACAAATAAGTGGTTGCTTTCCTATTTTTCTGAATGGAAGCAGTACACCGTCTACAATGGAAAATCCTCCACTACCTCACTTACTTTAGCTGGTGTTCCTCAGGGTGCTGTTCTTTCTCCCTCTCTGTTCTCGTTTTTCATACATGACTTGCCTCATTCTGATGTAGCCACTTTTGTTAAATATGCCGATGACCTCTCGGTTTCTATGCCTATCAACTCTCAGTCAGATTGTTCCAAATTAAATAGCTTTCTGTCGGAAATTAGTCAGTGGTCCTCTTCAAACGGACTTAAGCTTAATCCGTCTAAATGTCAGGTAGTCAATTTCACTTTCAGACGTAAATGTGACCTACAGCAAATAGTTAGCTCACATGGCCCCACTCTCATTGACGACACAGAGGTTGAAAATACATCTTATGTTAAGTACCTTGGGCTGAGTTTTTCCACCGATCTTTCCTGGTCTTCCCACATCTTGCTAGTTACTAGAAAGATGTTTCGCTTAACGTTCTACATTAGGAAATTTAGGCAGTCTGGCATAAACCAGTCTTTACTTTCTCAGTTTGTAAATTCTTGTATTCTACCCATCCTCCTTTACTGCTCCCCATTAGTCTTTCCTGGACTACTTAAGAAAGACTTTGCTTCGCTGAGAAGGGCACTAAAAGCTGTTAGTAGGGCAAGTGGGATATCGTTAAACCAACTGGTGAACACTATTGTAGATAGACATATTATGTCATGTAAGAAACTAGCGAATACAATATTGTCGGACCCCAAGCATCCTCTCTATACGCATCTATCTCCTTACATTTCATCTGGAAGAACTAGAAGCAGCTACAGGAGGCTATATGCTAGGACTACCAAATACAAAAACTCCACAATACCATATCTGGCACAGCTGTTATGTGATGAGAAATCCGTTAGGTATGACACGATAAACTTACTGCGGCACTCTAACAAATAGTCCCATTACTTTTTGTTTTCCTTTCCTCGTTACTATCACACTGTTGTTCTCATCTTGTACCACACATCAACTTTATATTTCAAATCCTGTGTTGCATTGTTTGAAATGAAATACTCTACGTTGTTTTTTTTTCTTAATTTTTAATATTTATTTTTTTTATTTATTTATAACTAATTTATTTTATTTTTATTTATTTATCTTTGATTTTTAAAAATCTTATATAATTTATGAGGTAATTAGATGCAATATACTGTAATGCACGCTGAAAATTCCATACCTGTACCACAAATACTGTTTGGAATAAAGCTATTATTATTATTATTATTTATTCCTCTGTTCGTTTTCTGGAACTCTTCTGAGAGTACTTACTCGGACTGCAGCCAGCATGTTTGGACAAGGATTATCAACGCAATTTGGATCCTATGGTGACGTTGGATAATGGCTGGGCGAAAGAAGGGACTCGGCACCGTGAAAGCAGTCAAAAAAGGATGAGTTTCCTGTTAATTGTAATGATATGCATGATGAGTCGGATGTTCACGCTTCGCCGTTTTGGGATAGTGGTGCTTTAAGTCTCCCCAAGTTTGAAACTCGGTACTTGATGGAAACCCAGCCGACTACCCGCAGTTTATCAAGGAGTTTGAGGTCATGTTGAGTGGCTTTCTATTAAATGACGTCGGTGGCACAGTGGTTAGGACTCTCGCCGACCATGTGCATGGTCCGGGGTTCGAGCCCACGCCGACGCACACCTGGTATCTATGATCGGCCTGCGAATTTTGGGCTACCGATATCCACGCTGAAAATTCCACACTCGTTCCAAAAATACGGTGTGGAATCAAGCTGTAATCAAAAATAAAAATAAATAAATAAATAAAGTTAATGTATTTGTTGAGGTATTACACTGGTTTTGCTTCAAGAGCCATATAGTGCTGCAAGTTTTTTCCCGAAGCGAAGGAAATACAGGGGCTGTGAAGATACTACGTCAAAAGTTTTGAAAACCACTTATGATATCTCGCAGTATTTTTGAGGCAGTGAAAGGTAATAGATCAGAGTTAAACGATAATTCAGAGGAACTCGCAGAGTTCTTGGACAGTTTAATGGTAAAGGGAAATACTCTCGTTTATCTTAACAATATGGATGAGTTGAACTCAAGTTCTGTGCTTGGGACAGTTGCCAAGAGATTATCGGTTTGTCTACAAGGAAAGTTCTTAAAGGTCT